ACAACATATGCTCCCATCTAGACGTCATCTCTTTCAGGGAAGACCCTGCATTTTTCAATACGATAATGCCAGACCACATTCTGCAGCAATCACAACATCATGGCTACGTAGAAGAAGGATCCGGGTTCTGAAAAGGCCAGCCTGCCATCCAGATCTTTCACCTATAGAGAACATTTGGCGCATCATAAAGAGGAAGGTGCGACAAAGAAGGCCCAAGATGATTGAACAGTTAGAGGCCTGTATTAGACATGAATGGGAGAGCATTCCTATTTCTAAACTTGAGAAACTGGTCTCCTCTGTCCCCAGACGTCTGTTGAGTGTTGTAAGAAGGGGGGATGCCACACGGTGGTAAAAATGGACTTGTCCCAACTTTTTTGGGATTTGTTGACGCCATGAAATTTGGAAACAACAGATTTTTCCCTTAAAATGATACATTCTCTCAGTTTAAACTTTTGATCTGTGATTTGTGTTCTATTCTGAATAAAATATTAGATGTTGGCACCTCCACATCATTGCATTCAGTTTTTATTCAATTTGTTTAGTGTCCCAACTTTTTTAGAATCCGGTTTGTGTATGTGTATATGTATGTATGTATGTATGTATATATATATAATAATAATAATCATAATAATAATGTCATCACAATGTCAGCACTGTATGTTTCCATACAATGGCGAAATTAGTCTCTGCATTTAACCCATCCACCACCAGGTGGTGCAGTGGGCAGCTATTGAAAGCGCCCGGGAGGCTTTTTGGGGATGAGGTGTGCTGCCCAAAGACACCACGTGATGTGCAGTGACTGGGGATCGAACCTGGGACTTTTGGGTCCCAAGCCGGCTGCCCTGCCTCTACACCATCTCGGCCCCCATATATATATGTATATATTAGCTATGGAGCTAAAGCTATTAGCTCCCGAGCTAACATCATTAGCTCTGGGACTAATGTAATTATGCTATTTATGGAGGAAACATGAAAGCTGAGTAATTTCTCTGGTTCAAATAAAAGCACTGAACATCAGATATTGTCCAAATTTAACATTGAAGCTGAACAGAGCTCGCACCAGCGCAACCTGTTTACATCATTTACCCAGAATGCATGGCAGCATATATAAAATGTTGACATCTGTGTATCAATAATTTTTTTTAAGCTTGTGAAAAGTTTGCCTTTTTTTTTACAGTTTTGTTTCTATAGCTCAAGTCATTGTTAAATAAGGTCTGTTGTTCCAACTACTCGGAGATCATTTAAGGGCTGAAAGTTAAAGCCCCAGAGAACCACATCACTGATGGTCATGGCTGTCCAAATTAGAATTGGCACAGAATAGAGATGTAGAGGATCGTCATACGTGCCAGTTCTTAGCCAAAACTAGTTTAAATCTGCACATTATACAGAGAAGACAGTGATACACTTTCCTAAGTTTTTGCCACTTTTAGTTGGTTGGATTTCAAGTATAGCTTATTTTCCCACCCCCCAAAAAATGTTCAAACATTTCCAAATAGTTTTACTCAACTCACATCCAATGACCATGACGCAGATGGAGAAGATCTTCTCAGAGTTAGTGTTTGGAGAGACGTTACCAAACCCCACACTTGTCAAACTGCTCAAAGTGAAGTAGAGAGCGGTGACATATTTGTCTTTGACTGATGGACCAGAGGTGGAATCACTGTCATTGTAGGCCTTTCCTAGTTGTTCAGCCAGGTTGTCCAGCCAACCAGTCTCGGTGTACGGCCTCTCCACAAAGCCAATGGCATACCAAATGCAGGCGAGCCAATGAGCGATGAGAACAAACGTACACATGAGCAAGAAGAGGACTGCAGCTCCATATTCAGAATATCGGTCCAGCTTTCTTGCCACACGGACCAGTCTCAACAGCCGAGCTGTTTTAAGTAGGCTTGTTAAGGTTGCCATCTTTGGTTTCCATTTGGAACAAGGGAGAAGATGTGAGGCAAGATTAGGCATGTCAGTTACTTCAAAACAAAAAAGTCCATTCTAAATTTCTAAAATAGTAAATCATAATTCCAAAAATGCTGGAACCTTGTGCAAAAAGTAAATAAAAACAAAATGCAATGATTTCCTAATCTTATAATCCCACATTTTATTCACAAAAAAACATAGTCAATACATCAAATAAGAAATTGTGCTATTTTTAGGGAAAAAGTAAGATTTTAATGTGATGGCAGCAAAACATCTAAAAAAAAAAAGTTAGGATGGGCAACAAAAGGCTATAAATTCGTGTTATGTATAATAAACAACTAGAAGATCATTTTGCAGTTAATAAAGTTAATTTGCGACAGGTCAGTAAGATGACTGGATATAAAAAGAATATTCTAGAGATACTTAATCTTCAAGAAGTAAAGATGGGTGGAGGTTCACTAGTCTGTGAAAAACTGTCTAAAAATAATGGTGCAAATTTCAAAGAATGTTCCTTAATAGAAAATCAGGAAGAGATTGAATATTACATCATTGCCAGTGCGTATTATCATGGAAAGAATTTCAAAGATATGGAGAAATCCCTGAACTCAAAGGACAAGACTGAAATTCAACATTAGTTCCCTGTGATCTTCAGTCCCTCACTGCATTAAAACAGGTCTGATTCTGTTATGGACATCACTGCAGGGGCTCAGGAACACTTACACAAAACATTGTCTGTATTTGCCCTGACACTTTTAAATGCTGATTATGCACCACCACACAAAGAACAAGGCATTAACACCATCCAGAATCAATCCATCCACCCTGGACAGGTTGCAAGTCCATCCAGAATCGCTGCGGTCTTGTTTGGGCCAAGGCTAATTTAAAGTCCAGCTCCCACCATTGGAGCCCCAAATGCTCTTCACCGTCATAAAATATAATGGATATTTGTTTTTGCATTTGGGCCGCTCAAATGTTAAAAAAAACAAACAAACCAGTCATGGAAACATCCGAGCACAGACGATAATTCCCAAAGGCTGATGACGTTACGTTGAGGATGGGGCGCAGGAGTGTGCATTTAACACGGAGGCGTATGGTAGAAGGGACAATTTCTGTGGTGAAGTTCAATTGACTTTGAAAATATTGATAATGACTTATCTATAAGCGATGAAGAAGAAAGTACAACAGTTCTTCCTGAAATTGTTACTCATGGAGGGCCTCTTCCATACATGTTTGAGCCACCATGACGGCAAGAAGAGGCAACTCCACAGGAAGACCAAACAGCAAAGAAAGGTCCTTCCCTGCTTGAAAACACCAACTATTAATAAAAAAAAAACTCTTGTAAGGATAATTTGGGATTAAAAATACCAGTATGTGCTGTGGTCGGCTTAACGCTTGAAGTGTCTGGGAGAATTTAGATACAGTCAAAGGCTTTGACTTGTTTACGTTTCACAACACGCATCATAATATGAGCTTCTGGTGTGGTCATGGTTTGGTTTGAACTCATTAAAGCTGACAACTCAAAATATTGAGCAGAGTCAAAATAGTTGGAACTGCATCTAGCGTTACGCTCGCCTTCAAATCCCAATCCCTTCATCATTGCGGACTCAATCTTCAGCTTGAAAGTGTTTCGAACACAGAGCACTGTTCGGCGTTGGTGCAACAAAGTCTGCCCGTCTAACTCTGCTAAAACAGGAAGTCCTAACACCCTCCTTGGCTGTTCTCTCGCAGAACAGCAACACACCAATTCGGCATGTTGTTTCTGTCTAGAACATTTTTGCCAGAAATTTAAAGTAAACAACCTACAGTCACCTTGTGCAATAGAAATATATGGTAGTCTTGCATAAACCATAACCCAAGGTGACATCACACACCATATATGGAAGTGAAGGGGCTTTTTCAGAGGCATGACTGAAACAGCTTAAACCAGTTTGCATTATTTTTCAGTGTTTGCCAAAAAAACATATGTACTTGTTTTTTTTTTGGGGGGGGGGGGTGGGGGGGGGGGTTGTCTCTTTCACAGTTTGCTGGACATGCAATGTGAAAACATATCATACAATATATCTCATATACAAGATAGGGATGCATCGATCCACTATTTTTAACTTCCGATCCAATCCCGATCCCTAAATCTGGATATCGGCCGATACCGATCCCGTATCATCATTATTGATTTTATGTGAGGCTGTAATAGTCTCCTCTCTACAGGCAAGTACAAGTTGTACAATATATATTGCATGCATGTCCAAAAAGGCAACTTGAGGTAAGTTGTATTAATGTTGGACAAGTTTCAAAGTTAGAATTAAATCCTGCTAACACAAAACATGTTTTTTTTATTCTATAGCTTTAAAGTGGATATTAAAAGTGATTAAATGGCTTTAAACATTTGCTAAGTTCATGGCATAAACCAGCACAGGCATGTTCCTGTTTTTAGTAATGGACATTAATTATGATGGTCATTAATTCCGATGACGTTTAGCAGCTTCTCTGTAAACATTCAAGCTCCATGGCTTCAGCGGTGTGTTCTTCTCGTTCAATCCAGAGCAAGCAAATTGATTTCGGTCAGCCGCGCTCAGTCTGCCCCTCGTCCGAGACAGACAGACTGAGCAGGGCTGACCTAAATCAGACTGCCTGCTTCAGACTGAATGAGAAGAACACACCGCTGAAGTCACGGAGCTTGAATGTCCAACGTAAAACTAACTTTACTGCGGTTTAATATGGTGCTATGTTTGATTAAGTTTGTTGTGTTGTAGGTTGCGACAGAGCTTCATCCTCTTGGTACAGCGGCTCTGCAGACATTGCACATTGCTGTCTTGCTTTGTGGTTTCTAGTGTAAAATACTTTCACACAGCGGACATGTTTTGATGAAAAGTTGGTTAGCCGTTAGCCGCAGTGCTGCTCAGTCCACATATTTACTCACGTTTAAGCTGGCTGCAAACTATGAAATGGATTTCCTGAATGTGAGGCGGGTCTCATTACTCTGGGTTTCATGAAACATGCCTCAGTTCAGAAAATCCATTCCATAGTTTGAAGCCAACGTGCAGAGCAGCTGGCAGGGAATCACATGTGGAGACGTTTCAGCGGACACAGACATGCATCATGGATCGGAAATCTCTGCAGGTTGGATTGGAAAAATCCAATACATAAATTATGATGGTATCGGACGCCGATACGGAAACCGGATTGGATCGGCCCCATCCCTAATATGGGATATATGATACCACCTATGGTGGGAGTTGGTCTTTAAATTGGTTAAAGGAAAAGCGGAAAAGCTTTACTGTGGTCAGACCAATCTAAGTTCTGGAAAAAAAAAAAAAAAAAAAAAAAAACAAATTTATATATATAAATTTATATATATATATATATATATATATATATATATATATATATATATATTTTTTTACTATGGATGCTACATCCTCAATACTAAAAAAGGGAACAATCCAGCCTATGATCAGCACACAGTTCAAAAGCCTGCCTCTCTGATGGTATAGTGATGCATTACTGCTTCTTTCATGGACAGCTTACACATCTGAAAAATACCGATCATGCAGAACAGTCAATACAGCTTTTAGAACAACATATGCTCCCATCTAGCTAGCAATCCAACAAAGACCCCAGTCTGTTGAATAGCTCAAATCTCGATTCAGACAAGAATGGGACATTTCCCTGCAAAAACATTATCCCCTGGTGTCTTCAGCTCTTAGATGTTTACAAACTGTTGGTAAAAGAAGAGATGCTTCACAGTGATAAGTATGACCCTATTTTTTTTTAAGTTTTGCTGCCATCAAATTCAAAATTACATTATTTTTCCTAAAAGTGGGACCATTCCTGTGAATAAAATGAGTATTTTTTTGAGATTCACTTCTGTATTTAATTACGTTTTACACAACATTTCAACATTTTTTGGAAGTGAGACAATAATATAAATTTAGGCTTGTGTAAAATAATCAGACAATAAAATTTTCAGAGTACCAAGTGTCTTACCTCATCGGATCCAGATCTAAAAATGACAAGGTCAAAGGGAATAGCTGCAAACAGATCAATTAAAAACCAGCCTTTCATATAATGTTTGGCTATCCGGCTCGGCTGAGTGACCACCACGTCATTTTGGTCGACGTACGTGGTGCGAAAATTGATGACTATGTCCACGATAAACAGCACATCCACCATGAGGTCCACAATATTTAAAGGGTTGCATGTGTAGCCACATCTTCTTTGCCTTAAATCTCCATGTTCATACAAAAGGAATGCAGCAGAGTAAGGAGTGAAAACAGCTGTGTAAAGGACCAGGAGGAGAATAATCCAGTCCCAAAACGCCTTGAAGGGGCTATAGTGAAGCAAGATCCACCATGTCGTCTCCGGTGCCTGGAGTTTATATTCAGGAAGTACATCAGACTCCAACGAAAACACCTAAGAACAAAAGATGCATCAATGATTTTCAGAGATGAACCTTTACTATTTGATTTGACTTTTTTCAGACAAATATTGTTTTACGTTAGTTTAAAACAACGCAAATGGTAAAACTGCACGTTGCTTTTAATTTAGTGATAAAAGAAGAAAGTACATTTCTAGAATAAAATCATATAAAACTATCTTTCAACCAAAACCTCCCAACAGACCTTTCTAGACGAAGTACTCATTTGACCGAGTTCCTGCTGGATGCTGTGTGCTCTTGCTTTGCGGCCTTGTAAGTCCAATAAATGCTTGACCATCCTGTCACTGGGGACTCCCAGCTGAGACGAGACTTCATGGGGATTACGTCCAGAAAACAAACAACCTCAAAAGGCAATGGTGTCCTTTAACCATCGCTGTGGAGACTAACTGAATTGCTGATGGGTTGGAGGGCTGTATTGACGGATCGGGTGTCACACAGACTAGTTCAATTCATTCCACATTGTATTGTCTCTGCCCCAATTTCAAATTAACATTTGCCTTCCTAAAAAAATGTCACTGACCTCACTAATAGATCCATCAGCCATACAGATCTATAGGATTACACGGATAGACGAGGCAGATGTTGGAAGGTCATGGGTTGTTGCAAGCTTCTCTCTTGCATGTGTTTTGCATCCACTACACACCATTCAGTGATGCAGAAAGGGGAGCCCCGGGGCTCCAGCAGGAACAACCGTTACTTATGTCTGAAACAAAGCGTCACTCAATGCATCTTTGTTTTTCTCACCCATGAGGGAAACATCCAGCCAGCAAGACACCTACTGATTTTTCCATTAGTAGGTTAATTAACAGTGGCCTTCTACCATGGCAACAATCTGGGCTCTGAAATATTTTTATAGAGTTCAGAACACACAAAGTGAGAGCTGAGATGACGGACTGAACCTGGCCAGCATTAAATGCAGCGCAGGTTCTCAACGAGTCTCTGGTGGTGAACGAGCGAGTTAATTGTCCATGCGAGGTTCTTGGCCTTCATACCTGCGTGACCTTCTCTGTGACGTTCTGAGGGCGATCCTTCCCCTTGGAGGGGCTGAGCAGCTCCATTCTGGGTGTCTGATACCTTTAGATCCTCGATGGCCTCCTCTTGGCCCTTCGTAGGGCAGGACACGGATCTCTGACTTGGGCAAATTATATCAGTCAAGCTTTACATTTTATTTTTATCTTGTACTTTTCACTTATGTGTGACAAAACAATCCTGCCAATACTATACTATAATCAGAATATAAAACTGTAACCTAACTGACTTGACTGAAATAGTTATTGGTACAAGTCTCTAAAATTGTAACTAAAACTACACATTTAGGTAAATTATGTATAAAAAAACTTTAATTTTAAATTGTTTACACTATTTTAACACAAAATCAGATTATGCTACTATTCTACTAGATTACTAGCTGATCTGATCTATAATTCAGAAATTACGAACGTGAATGAGCACAACATACCTGATTTAAAAGCAGAAAGTTAAATTGCCATTGATCTTGACCTCTGAGCCGTTACTCAGCCGTTCCTGCTGTTGAGCGCTCGTTGGCCAGGCGTGTTCAGAAGTACTCACTCTGCTCGTGGCTCATTTTACACAAAAAACAAACGCTCTTCTTGTTAACGTTGCGTGGCATCAATCGCCAGAGTTGAACCCTCCACACTGTCACAGAGCAGAGGACTTGCCCTGCAGCGCGTCAGCAATGGACGCCAATCAATGCCACGCTGTAGCTGAGAGGAAGCGGCGGGAAAAATCGATGCCAGGCACTGATGAACCAAAGGGGCTCACTCACTGGGCTTCCCTGTTAACATCAGCATCTCCACGATTCGATTTGGGAGATTACATTTAATTATGCGTTACATAAATGTTTTGGTGTTGCAAAGTGTAAAAACAAAGTCAGCTGACTAAATCTGAGGGAACATTTGATGCATAGACGCTACTTCTGTTGGATCTTAATGAATGTTGTGAAGGTAATGACCCGTAATGACATTAAAGTGCCCTTCAGCTGTAACCATGTTTTTAATTAAAAACAATAAAACAGATTGTATCTTTTGAGCTTCAACACTTTAATAAAAGGGGAAGTATTTTCGTTTAACAAGACAGAAAATGTTCTCGTCAGTAATTTATGGCTAGACTTGTTTATTTTGGATAAATGTTTAGTCTTTTAAAGTGCTGGGATCTAAAGGGATTTTTCCAACTTGTGAGTAATAATGTGTTTCTCTCTGTTGTAGGTTTTTGGTTCGTCCTTGTTTTAGTGTTATCTTGTTGTTCTGATTTTCCTGTTTCATACTTTGTGAACCCCACCTGCCATATTTTACAGAAATCCTCCTTTATCCCTTCAGTCTATTTTTCTGCCCTCCCTGCATATCTTATTCTTGTCTCCAAGGTAATTTCCACAGCTGCCTTCTATTAGTCTTTATCTCTCCCAGTGTATATCGTATGAAGATAAATCTGTCTCAAAAGTAGTCACACAGGCGCACAATGAGATTTGTATGTGTACAATAAGACCCACAAGCTTACCACAAGTTTTACAAATGTGCATCTTTCAATTTGCACAAGTAGGAATATTCTGTGCATAAAAATAGTCAAATACACGTGCACAAATCACCTACTGTGGACAAATCAGTCATCACGAGTACATGGATCAGCTTGCCTTGAATGTGACTTTCGAGACTTTCTTCCTGCTCCAGACTAGGGCTGAACAAGTAATTGCATTTGCAATAATATTGCGATATGATGAAACGAGATTTTCTACTCGTGAAGGCTGCGATTTGACTGGTCACGTGATCTGGTTAAATGACTTGTGAGTGAGCGGAGCAAAGCAGAGCAGGGAGCGAGAGAAGTCAACGCTGCGTTTTAACTGGTTGCACAACGGCGTCAGGCTCGACAGAAGCTGACACATCTGAAAGTTTGGTACCGAAGAGCGGCAGCACGTCCGTTGTTTGGAATTATTTTAGCTATAAAAAAGAAGATGCTGCGCAACGACATCTAATGTGCAGAACCTGCCTTGCTGCTATTGCTACCTCCTTGAGGTAACACCACAAATCTTTATCAGCACTTAAAAAACCCCACCACCAAGCCATTTACGATAGTTGCACGGCTAGAATGCCAGTGCTTCAGCTTAAAGTAAGCAAAGTACCAGTCGACAGGGATCACTGACCGAACTGTTCAAATGTATTACTCCGTATGAACATAATTTGAAACGGCACGCGGAAATAACTCGAGCAATAACAGAGTTCATAGCGAAAGACATGATGCTCATTAATACAGTGACCGAGCCTGGGTTTACGGATTTGGTAACACGATAAGCAGTACAGGATGCCCTTGCGCACACATTTTAGCCAAGTTGCTAACCCAGAGCTATACAAAAACTCAGAAACAGAGTTGCAGCGGAGCTGAAAACTGTGGAGTTTTTTGCAACTGAAACAATTTATTGCTCGTGTTTGTTGAAAAATACATGAGAAGAAGACACTGTAAAATAATCACATATTAAATCGCAATGTTGAGTAAAAAAAAAATCGCAATTAGAATATTTTCCAAAATCGTTCAGCCCTACTCCAGATTCACAAATGTGATGCTGCGTTCAAGGCTTGTAAAAAGCTGGGATATCTGAGCCTTACCAGACTTAACTGAAAAAAGTCAGATGTCTAATTAATGTATACAATTCTAATATTGAGATGAGCTATTGTGCAAAGTTCAAAATGTGTTTTTGTGGATCTTATTGTACACATATACACAGTAGCCCCTCGCTAATTCACGGTTTGACTTTCGCGGTTTTTCAAAGTAAGATTGTAAACAGCACACGATTGTCAACTTTAATATTACTCACATGATTGGGACGGTACGGGATAGAAAGTTAACGGAGAAAAAAAAATACTTTGGACAGGCACCACCATTTTGTAGTTTTCTTTCAATAAGCCTATACTGGAACACGTCAAAAAAACTACACTACCCAGAAGCCAACAGTACTTCCAGCTGCTGCTTTCTGCTGAAACGGAGGGATAGTTTTGCAACACACAGTCAGAAGTAACGATCCATCTACGAAACTCACAGAACTGGCAGGAAAGTGAAATAATCCCTAAGCTCAATTATCCACGTGCACATCAACCTGGACGGGGCGGTGGGTTTTGTCGCCGCTGGGTAGATCTGCAGAACCAGAACCGAGCTGCTGGTCTGCAGAGCTGGATAGTAACATTTTGCAGTACTGTGCAGTATATATACGTACGTTGTAAAAATTACATAGGTTTAAGAGTTTAGAACATTGCAAGAGTGTGGGAAGGGTTTATAAAGCCTTAATATATAAATACTAAAATAAATATAGCGTTCCTACTTCACGGTTTTTCAACTATCGCGGTGGTGTGTGTAACGTAACCCCCACGATAATCAAGGGACTACTGTGTCTCGTACATTTGTGAGACTATTTTACTTCTGAGGCAGACTTATCTTCATAGTATAGTATACCATCTGTATTTGCATCGAGGTCTTTGGTCAAGGTTAGTTTGGATTTAGCTATTCTTGAACATATGGTTTGGGATTACTGTTGTTTTTTTTTTATTGTTTGTTTTTTGACTTCCTGTAGCTTTATTTTCAGTTTTGTTTCAAAATGATCGCCTGCTTCCAGAGTCTGAATTAGAGCCCTGAAGTCACAATCACCTGCTGACAAGTGTTGCATTTATGCTGCTTTTTGGTTTCTAATTATAGTTATTTTTGTTTCTTATAGCGACTATTGTTTTTTTTTTCTTCCAGGTAAAGGGGGCAGTGGGATGAGACAATCCAGGAATTAGTTGACTTCTTTCCGAAACTGATGATGTGCAAATACAACCATCTAGTTTTTGTAGTGTGGACCGATTTATTTGAATCTAATTGTAAACATTTTATGTCCTGTAAAGTGAGTTTAGATGTTAGCGTTTTCAAAACAGGTGTGTTTACAGATTTAAACTCAGACGTCATCAGAAACTAACGCACAAGTCTCGTTTCTTCATGATCTCGGCCTAAAACGTTGGCATGAAATGTGGCGGGTGACGTGCATTCCTTTAAGGAAGGCTAGGCCACGCATTTTAGATGAAAATTAAATTATGCCAATTCTTTTTTTATTCATAAGTTAATTTTGTTGAAATTATTTTAAAAAATCCTGCAGATATTTAAAATAATTTAGGTTTACTCACAGGGACATATGTCTGGATCAAGTGGGTGAAAAAATAAAAAAATAAAGGCACTAGAAAATATTGTTAAAAAAACAAAAACAAGTATAAAACATTGTTTTGAAGCAGAGCACTTGTTTTTTATGTTCTCTAATGAAGTCGGCGTAAATGGGTCTAAATTGTGTTTTGATGGTTCTAGAGGGGCGTTTGTGATTTCCTCACATTTACAGCAGACTTTTGTAACTGTTGCCATAGCAACTGCTTTTAAACAAGCATGTTGTTTTCATGTTTCACTGTCTGGCTGATAAATAGTGCGTCTTAAATCAATATGGATCAGCACTCGGAGCGCGGTGCGATCTTTACACTTCCAATGAAAACTCACAGAGAGCCCAAGTTTGAGTGAATTTAATGACGTGTTGATAAGTAGATTAGCTCTTCAAGGAGAAATAGTCCCAGATATTAGAATATGCAAACATGTATCATGAAGACACACTTGAGACTTTTTAGCATGTTTAACGGGACATATTTTATTTCAAAACTGATCCACGCTACATAAAAGCTGTTTTGTTCCTCAAAGTGAAAGGTTTGACTTCGTCTCGACATTTTCAGTTTTGTTTCTTCAGTATTTAACCGTAAAGAAGCGCAGATGTTTTACATTCTCCTTCATTTTGAAGAAGTGTATTTTCAAAACAGCTTGGAGTAAAAACCTGCAGGACAGTGGTTTCACTTTGTCCAAGAAATGCTGTTCTGTGTCTTAGTGGCTAATTCTTGCCCCGGTTTTCTCACACAGACAGCATCAGTAGAAAAGCAACGTTTTCTGTGACGACGTGCAGCGTTTGGAAGTTATCAGGTGGCAGATTGATTAGCTGTGAAATTAAATATTTCACATACACAGTCAGTGTCCGCAGAGAGTCCAAACGCTGCGCTCAGCTGTCAGCCTGGATGTTGTCCCACACTTGCAGCACATCTGGATTGTTGTTGAGGGCTTCTATGAGGACTGCGGCTGCTTCCATCTGGTCATCGTCCAGAGAGACGCAACTACGAGGAAAATACTCTGACCCAGCAAACTCAATCTGCATCCCCAGGCCCTCCAGTGAGCCCCTCACCTTATGCAGGTCCGCTTCTGCACAAAAAAACTGAGGAGACAAACACATAAAGCCTTTACTTTAGCTAGGGGTGCACAACATTATCGGCATGGTATCGGCCGATGTTAGCGATAAAATTAAATATCGGACATCGGCCATTCCATCAAAATAACTCACTGATATAAAAAGCTTCTGTTTTAAGTTCATTTTTAACTTCAAAAACTGTCAAGTATATCTATCAATGCTCTACTACTTGTGCACTTTTCACTTGTGAACAGTTTGAGTTTAGATTTGTGAAAATTACAAATTTGCACTGTTCGAGTGTTGTCATTGAGTTAAGAGTAAATGTCATGAATAAATTTGACATTAAACATAATCCAAGTTGAAGTGTTGCATCATTTTCACTCCCCTTTTTGGCATCTGAATTTGGCAGCAGGCCAAACTGAAAAGACCATAAAGAATAATTTAGTATTTTAATTCCACAGCAGAGTAGTCTCTGAAAGTAGGTCCAGGGGAAAAATATAGTTATTGATATCGGTTATCGACCAAATAAGTTTTAACATATCGGCCAAAAATCCATTATCGTGCCTCTCCAATTTTAGCTGCTTTTTCGTTTTTAATTGTGATGCAGAATATATATCAAAGTGACTGGACTGAGTTAGGTGAAGAGCTACTTAAAAAGCAGGCAGCCATTTGTAGGGATAGGTGAATCATACTTATTGACTTGCATAGACGTCCATTGTGGTGTTCCTCAGGGGTTTGTGCCGAGTCCAAATTGTTACTATTATGCATAAATTGCAGACGTATGTAGAATGTCAAACATGATCCAATTCTTATTATCGGCAGATAACAAATATCTTCTGCTCTGATGATAGTTTACAGCAGCTATTAAAGATAATGGTGAAAAAAATAAACTTTAAAATTCTACACAGTAGCAGTAGTAGTTGAAAATTCTTCTGAATAGACCAGAATTCACTTCTCACTGTTGTCTAACCTTCAGTTGGGGCTTCTCCTCCTCATCCTCAGTATTTTGGACGTCTTCAGCTCCTGCCTCGATAGCTAACTCCAGAGCTCTCTCTGAGGTGACATCCTGACCTGGCACCACCACTACAAACTTCTGTTCAAAGACGTTCCGGTTTTTGTCAGTCATGTTCCCTCTGAGAACGAGGGAACAGTTAGGGACAGTTTCACACACTGCTCAGTTCTCTTCCTCTACTTAACAACTTGGAGACATTAAAATATGACTTATACTCAGTGTTAACAAATAAAAAATCTTGTAAAAATGCATTTAAAAAAACACGTTTTAAGAGTTTGAACGATATAGTAGAAGTACAATGAGTGGTCAGGAGGATGAGACTGACCCGTTCTTGAAAACCACGCGTTTGATTTCATGAGTGGTGTGAGAGGTGCAGTCAGTCATGACCTCAACGAGCAGCAGACACCCACCAGGGCCCTGGACACAATAATTGTGCTGCAATAATGGTTTAGTCTTTCCCTGCAGACAGAGATGATGAGAAACTTGTTTCAGTAGTTGACAAAACAAAAGCGGACTTTACATCAGAAATGTATCTACCGTAAATTTCGCTGTATAAGTCGCAGTTTTTTGCACAAATTAGCATGCCTGCGACTTGTATAGCCAAGTAACATATTTATGTTTTTTTTCCATATTTATAATCTAAATTTTGGCTGAGATCTGACGATTTCATTCATTCTGATATGGAAAATATTAAACACTACCATTTTCAGCCACTAGAGGGCCCTCGACTAATATGGCAAGCCAAGTGTCTCATTAATAGGTAAAAGTGGTTATTAATGACACTTGGCTTGCCATACAATCAACCTTCGTCTCGCTCCAGAGCTCCTGGAGCAAACGTCAAATCAGCTGCATTTCACCGTGTCGCCCAGGAGAAATGCAGCTGATTGATTTGACCATCAAAGTGTATTTATTAAGGAAAAGTTCAACTGAGACACACCTTTACTATAATGTCGAGCAAACAAAATAATTGTTTTTAAGTGTTAATTTTGTTAAAGTCCTCCTGTGCACTCTCCCGCGGCCGCCATTTGGCAGCCAGTCGATTTTTGGCACAACACCAGCCCACGCTTCTGGGTTGTCAGCTGTGACGCATCACAAAGCGACGCGTCAGCGGTGATGCATAATAGATGCAACTTATATGGCAAAGTGACGTATTTCTGTTGTTTTCCACTTTATTATACATATTTGGACTGATGCGACTTATACGGTGGCAAGTATGGTACATGTAAACATGATTCTTAATACGGTTAAATAGACTCAAAGTAAAAACATATTTTTATTAATTGGATTTCTTAATTTTTCTCATCCCGGGATGCATAACTTTCAGCATAAAGGTTGGCACAGTGCCCCGAGTGGTTCACCAGACAACAAAATTAAGTTTTAATTCATTTACACAACAAGCTCTTCCTATCAAAGAGACCGGACTGAGTTAGGTGATGAGCTACTTAAAAAGCAAGCAGCCATTTGTAGGGGTAGGTGAATCATACAAATCGACCTGCATAGACGTAGACCATGATCTTCTCATGGTGAGAAATAACAGAGGCCTTGTAACCCGTTTGGTCAAACCATGCACCATCTTGTATAGTGAGATGTCGCACTCAAAGCATGTGTTGTGAACAACTCTCAGCAACTACCACACCAGATATGAGCATTTATTGTAAAAAAAAAACAAAAAACTGAGATATAGCCACATAGACAAGAGTCAAGCTAATTAAACATGGCCTAGACTGCACAAGTTAATCAGCTGTAGATTCAAAGACTGAATGTTTCTTTAAAACTTCTGCAAAGAGATATTTTGCTAACAGACGTGCTTATGTTTTAGGCAAACATTTTGCACAATGCGTAGTAATCTGAGAGCGTGTTGGAGGCGATACTCGGCTACATCTACACCGAATTTCATGTCAACATCTGTAAAAATGGACAGTTATTGGTCAGTTGGCCGTGGCAGCCATCTTGAATGAGACGAGCTCCAAAAGTTCATCTGTTGTAGACGAACATCAAATTATTATGTCCTGAAATACTCAGTAAAATCTGCCCAGTAAGCAAAGTCTTAACTGTTGCTGATGAAGTGGTGACTGGTGGACATTACAGAGGTTTTCGTGTAGTTGACAACCTACCACACTGTTGATTGCTTCATCTATGGATGCTTTGGGCATGCTCTTTCTCTTGCACTGCTCCAAAATCTGGGCCAGGTTCACGTTGAAAGCTGGGTTAGGTCCACCTTCTGCAGATCAACACAAACTATTAGAAATGAACTGGAGTTGATCAGAGCTCAAGACTCTCTGGGAACTCACCCCTCACTGCAACTTTTATCAATAACCTAAACCTCAAAAAGAGTTTGGCTCTCGCCGCGTCTGTCGGTCCCTTTATGTGCTTCACTTTGGACCACTTGTTGTGTCCGGCGCACACCGCAGAGGACACGTGCACCGTCCTGAAGGGACATGTCCTCCTCCACAAAGGGGACAGGACGGGCTGAGGTACCGAGAGTCTTCCTGAGGCCCCGGCCGGTGCCGAAAGGCGCAGGGTCCGGAGAGCCCTCAGCAGCGTCCCCACCACCAACGCCATGTCGTTTAGACACGGGCGCGCGCACGGTTACTAAAACCGCGGTGTCAATGGCACAAAGGAGACACGTTTCCGTCCACGCGCATTTTTATTCACTTTACAACGAATACAACAGTGAAGCTTTCTAACTCAACGTTCTAAAAAGGTCAGGGGACGAGCAGAGCTGTGGCAGCCGCCATTTACAGGAAATGCGACTTCCGGTTTCCCGTGACGTCAGGGTTCAACTTTTCAAAATAAAAGCTGTTTTTTTTTGGGGGGGGGGGGGGGGATTATTTTTTTTTTTCTCTTTTTATTTAATTGTACTCTATTAATTCTTCCCAATGGAGAAATTAATTCTCTGCACTTTTACCATTGCACGTGAGCACACGCATGCGGGGCAGTGGGCTGCCATCTGAGGAGGGGAGGGGTTAGAGCCTTGCTCATGGGCCCAGAGTGGGGCAAATGAGGGTGGAAGCAGGTGTGGCTGTTTCACCTTGTCCACCCACATGTTGTCGGTCCGAGGAGTTGAATTGGGGAGTTGACCAGCGACCCTCAGATCACAGCCCCACCCTCTATAACCTCTGCACCACCACTCCCCGCAGGGGCCTTTCTGGGTGGAGTTTGCATGTTCTCTCCATGCATGCGTGGGTTTTCTCCGGGTGCTCCGGTTTCCTCCCACAAACAAAAAACATGCATGTTAGGCTGATTGGTAACTCTAAATTGTCCCTAGGTGAGAGTGAGAGAGTGAATGGTTGTTTGTCTCGTTTGTCTCTATGTGGCCCTGTGATGGACTTGCGACCTGTCCAGGGTGTACCCTGCCCCTCGCACAGTGATTGCTGGACATGGTCACTGGTGACCCCCATAACCCAAAATGGAATAAGCAGGTAAAGATAATGGATGGATGGATGGACACTCAGGAAGAGGGCCACCTGCATCATGAAGGACTCCACTCACCCAGTACACTAATTTTTTGCCCCGCTCCCCTCAGGAGGGAGGTTGAGGAGCATTATGTGTAGAATCACTAGACTGAGAAACAGCTTCTACCCTGAGGCTGTTAGACTCATGAATATCAAATCAGGATAATCACTGTGAAAAAAAATCACTGTAATGCCACTTTGATGGTTGATATGTGCTGCTGACTATCCATGCTGCTGATTTATTTCATGCTGCTGTATTCATTAGTCCTCTTCTGCTCACACAGACTCATGTTTGTGCTGCTGTTGTTCAGTGTATTGTTTTTGTACTATTGGTGCTTAGTGTATTCTTAGTTTAGCATTTTTCTTAGTTCATAGATCTTATTACTGTTTTTCTATACAATTTATACTTTTGTTGGATGTAACTGGAACCCTGCACACAATTTCACTCCACCACATGTACAACATGTGGTGTGCATGACAAATAAAGACACTTTGACTTTTATCTTTAGTTTAATCCATCCATCCATCCATTCATTATCTTTGAATGCTTCTTCCTTTTTGGGTCACGGGGGTCACTGGTGCCTATATCAAGCCATCACTGTGTGAGAGGCGGGGGACACCCTGGACTTTTACATGTGAACAGCTATTTCTGGCTGTCAGCAACAAACTGGTTGATTCATTGTCATTAAAAAAACTAAGCAAATATGTTCTTGTTCTTAATATTTTACCTTGTTTAATATGGCACCTTGATTTGGGTGTTTATATAACCCTACTTTTTATTTTTATTGCTTTTTATTGTTGTATATTAAGGTCTCTCTTGAAAATGCGTCCTCGTGACTCATTGAGACTACCTGTATTAAACAAAAGGTTGAATTAATGGACAGGTCTCAAGTCCTTCAGGGTAAGATATACAAGAGAAACAACCATTCACTCTCTCGTTCACTCTTAAGGACAATTATGCCCCTTTTCCATTAGTACCTGTAGTACCGGTACAGCACGGCTCTACTCTACTCGGTACGGTACAGGTTGTGTTTCCATTATGCTTTCAGTACCGGTTCCAGTGTGCGGGGTTCAAATTGACGTCACCACCTCTCAACAAATAAGAAACAATTTTAGAGTTACCAATCAGCCTAACATGCATGTTTTTGGTCTGTGGGCTGAAGAAAAATGGGAGTCGATTATCCGCTCTTAATGTAACTTATACGAATCGGGTGGGGCCCACACAGCAGGTGGGCGTGGACTAATTTTTTCAGTGTGATGCTTACGCATAACGGGATAAACCCACTAAGCGACAGCCTTAAAGGGCGAAGCCTATATGACATAGAACTGGAATACCTGGAGAAAACCCACACATGCACAGAAAGAACATGCAAACTCCACTCAATTCAATTAAATTCTGTTTATTTACATAGCACCAAGTCACAACAAAAGTCATCTCAGAGTATTGTACAAAAACATTAACATACATTATAAAAGCCAATCAATAAAATTGATCTATCTAAGAAAGCCAGCAGATTGTGTTAAATCTTGACTTAGTCACAGTCTCCCATCCTCAGCAACCACAAAGGTAACAGTGGAAAGGAAAAACTCCATTTGAAAGGAAGAAACCTCCATCAGAACCAGGAACTGGAAGGAGAAACAGACAAACCGTAAGAGAGGAACTTGATAACTGAAAACTCTGCCCCCCATTCTACTTTTGGAAACTCTAGGATCCACATGTAAACCTGCAGTCTGAGCAAAGTGCCAGGTAGGACAATATGGAACAATACGATCTGTAATATAAGATGGAGCTAGGTTGTTGAGAGCTTTGTATGTTAGAAGTAAGATTTTGAATTATATTCTGAATTTGACAGAGAGCCAACGGAGAGAAGCTAAAACTGGATCTCTCCTGTCAACTCATTACAGGCAGAAGGTAGAACACTGGAGAGCTGGTGCAGGAACAACAACTTTCACATCAATGTGAAGAAGAAAATGGAGATGGTCGGGGACTTCAGATGGAACAAACACACCTACCCCTCCAGCTACAAGTACAAACCGGATTCCAAAAAATTTGGGACACTAGACAAATCGTGAATAAAAACTGAATGCAATGATGTGGAGATGCCAACATCTAATATTTTATTCAGAATAGAACACAAATCACAGATCAAAAGTTTAAACTGAGAGAATGTATCATTTTAGGGGAAAAATCTGTTGTTTCCAAATTTCATGGCGTCATCAAATCCCAAAAAAGTTGGGACAAGTCCATTTTTACCACTGTGTGGCATCCCCCCTTCTTACAACACTCAACAGACGTCTGGGGACAGAGGAGACCAGTTTCTCAAGTTTAGAAATAGGAATGCTCTCCCATTCATGTCTAATACAGGCCTCTAACTGTTCAATCGTCTTGGGCCTTCTTTGTCGCACCTTCCTCTTTATGATGTGCCAAATGTTCTATATAGGTGAAAGATCTGGACTGCAGGCTGGCCATTTCAGTACCCGGATCCTTCTCCTACATAGCCATGATGTTGTGATTGCTGCAGAATGTGGTTTGGCATTATCGTGTTGAAAAATGTAGGGTCTTCCCTGAAAGAGATGACGTCTAGATGGGAGCATATGTTGTTCTAGAACCTGAACATAGTTCTCTGCATTAATGGTGCCTTTCCAGACATGCAAGCTGCCCATGCCACAAGCGCTCATGCAACCCCATACCATCAGTGATGCAGGCTTCTGAACGGAGCGTTGATAACAACTTGGGCTATCCTTGTCCTCTCTGGTCCGGATGACATGGCGTCCCAGTGTTCCATAAAGAACTTCAAATCGTGACTCATCTGACCACAGAACAGTCTTCCATTTTGCCACACTCCATTTTAAATTACCCCTGGCCCAGTGCAAACGTCTGAGCTTGTGGCGCTTTCTTAGAAATGGCTTCCTCTTTGCACTGTAGAGTTTCAGCTGGCAACGGCGGATGGCACTGTGGATTGTGTTCACTGGCAATGCTTTCTGGAAGTATTCCTGAGCCCATTCTGTTATTTCCTTGACAGTGGCATTCCTGTTTGAGGTGTAGTGACGTTTAAGGGCCCGAAGATCACGAGCATCCAGTAGAGTTTTACGGCCTTGACCCTTACGCACAGCGATTGTTCCAGATTCTCTGAATCTTTTGATGATGTTATGCATGGTTGATGATGACAACTTAAAAGTCTTTGCTATTTTACGCTGGGTAACACCATTCTGGTATTGCTGCACTATCTTTCTGTGCAACGATGGTGGAATTGGTGATCCTCTTACCATCTTGGCTTCTGAGAGACACTGACACTCTGAGAAGCTCTTTCTGTACCCAATCATGTTGTCAATTGACCTAATTAGTGTTAATTGGTCTTCCAGCTGTTCGTTATATGCTCAATTTCCTTTTTCCAGCCACTTATTGCTACTTGTCCCAACTTTTTTCGAATTTGTTGACACTGTGAAATTTTGAATCAACATATTTTTCCTTTAAAATGTTACATTTACTCAGATTAAACTTTTGATCTGTCATCTGTTATATTACGAATAATATATTGACATTTGCCATCTCCACATCATTGCATTCAGTTTTTATTCACAATTTGTTTAGTGTCCCAACTGTTTTGGAATTCAGTTTATACAAGTATTTGGTTGTGTACCTGAATGACAACCTCAGCTGGGGCAACAACACCACCAGCCTGATCAAGAAAGCTCATCAGAGACTCTACTTCCTCAGGCGGCTGAGATGAGCTTGATTGGGAAGCTCAGTCCTCACCTCCTTCTACAGGTGTGAAGTGGAGAGCAACCTGTGCTCCAGCATCAACATGTGGCATGGAGGCAGCAAAGCTGCAGAAAGAAACTATTTGCAGAGAGTGGTGAAGGCTGCACAGAAGTCAGTTGGAGTCAGTCTCCACACCATCACAGACATCTACACCTGCAGATGCAGGAAGAGAGCTGCCTGCATCATGAAAGACCCTACTCACCCAGTACACACACTTTTTGCCTTTCTCCCCTCAGGCAGGAGGTTAAGGAGCATTTAAGCCTCCAGTATACTCGGGCGTACTTCAGTCCGCGGAGGTCCGCGCATACCAGATTAGAGTCGAAGTGGACGCCCACAGGGCATGTCCTTGCAAAGCTCAATTTTTACGACCACATACGCGTACTCGGTGGCGCACAATAAACTGCCCGGCGACGGACTGTTTTGTATGCGACGCCAATGTATTAAATTTCCATTCTTCATCCCTAGTCTGGTTTAATGGCCTTTTCTTTTGTTCTCGCTTTCTCTCTTCCTCCTCCTATGATGACACCATGACTGAAATGGTGAG